CTGATGGATTCCTCGTTGTCTCCAATATTATTTCAGCTTCTCCATATTTGAGCCTACCATTTCTCTCATGGCTCTGATGTGTTTGGAATTCTGTGGAAACATAACATTATTACTGCCTCCCTCGGAATTTGTGCACTTCTAATTTACCTCTGGAGAACTGTCCTTGCTGTGAATATACTAAAGTACCTTAGATTTTTTAAATCATAAATAAGCAGAAAATTTTATACTCACTGTGCCTTTATATGCACTCAGTATTACAAATTTCACTCTAATCTGTTCAATTTTCACTATCATTTCAACTGAACTATTTAAAAATTTCTGTAGAAATGTCTTCTTTGACCCATTTTTTTTTTAAGTTCAAGTATAATGAACATAAAATGTAATATTAGATTCAGGTGTACATTATGATTCTGCAATTCTTTACATTTCTCAGTGCTCATCACCATAAGTATACTCTTGATTCCCTTCACCTCTTTTGCCCATCCCCCCACCAATCTCCCCTCTAACCCATGTGTTCTTTAGAAGCTTATTTAATCTACAAGTTTTTGTCATTTTCCAGCTCTCTTTCTGTTCGTGAGGTCTAATTTGACTCATTTATGGTCTAAGAACATACTTCCTATGATTTCTGTTATTGTGGTTGTTCAGATGTATCTTATGGCCACAAATATGGCCCATCTCGGTAAACGTTCTATGTGACCTTGACAGGAATGTATAATCTTCTGTTGGATGAAGTATTCTACAGATGGTAATGGATCCAGTTGATTAGTGATGCTGTTCAGTTCATCTGTGATCTTACTGAATGTCTATATACTGGATCTGTCAGTGACTGATAGAGGGTATTGAATTATCCAGCTATAGTAATGGATTCAGTTCTTTCTACCAGAAGTTCTGTCAGCATTGGCCTTGTGTATCTAGACTCATCTGTTGTTAATGCATGCACATTAGAAATTGTTGAGTCTTTTTGGAGAACTGACTTCTTTACCATTGAAATAATGCCAGTCATGATCCCTGACAATTTTCCTTACTCTGTAGTGTGTTTGAAGGATAATTTCACTGGCTACAGATAGTTTAATGTTTCTCTTAACACTTGAAATATTTCATTCTTGATTGTGTGGTTTATGAAAAGAAGTCTTAGGTATTTCTTATCCTTATTCCTCTTGGGTAAGGTGTTCTTGTGCCCCTCTCTCCTTATACCTCCAACCCCTGCTCCAGATTTCCAAAACTATTTTAATTATCCATAGTTGAATATTATATATTAAGCATAGTTGATGGGTTTATTGTTGTTGTTAGTTGTTTGTATGTTTGTTTGGGTATTTGTCCTGCTGTTGATTTTTTGAGTATCCTGGATCTGTGATTTGGTGACCAGTATTCATTTTGGAAAATCCTCAGTCATTATTGCTTCAAGTCTCTCTCCTCCATTGTCATGGTATGCCTAACATGTGTGTGTTTCACATTTTGCAATTGTCCCACTGGTCTTGGGTTTTCTGTGCCATATTTTTATTTTTATTTTCTTTGTGTTCCTTTTTGGAAGGTGCTACTGGCATTTCTTTAGCCTCAATGATTCTTTCCTCAACTATGTTGAGTCTATTAATGAACCCATCAAAGGCATTTTTTATTTCTGTTATGGTGCTTTTGATATCTCGAATCACTTTAAACTGTTAGAGTTTCATCTCTCTGCTTACATTCACCATCTCTTTTTGCATAATGTCCACTTTTTTCATTATCTGCATTATCATAGGAATGGAAGTGGTTTTAAGTTCACTGACTGGTAACTCCTACATCTCTGCTCACTCTGCTCATCTCTGTGATTCTAGTGCTTGCTGTCTGTGTTCAAACTGTGTGGTTTTTACTTAACTATGCCTTGTAAGTTGTGTGGAAAGCTAAATGTTATGTGCTGGTAAAGAAACGGAGGTAAATAGAACATGAGTGTGAGGTTTTTATATTTATATGGCTGGGGGTTAGGCTGAATTTACTGCCAGGTGAGACAGGAAGGAGAGAGTCCTGGAGTTGAGTATTTTCCCTCAGCTGTATTAGTTACTCTTTAGGAAATCCCCAGTTAGGCTCTTAGTTTCTCTTGAAGGCAGATCTCTTCTGGAAGAACAGAATACTTTGGAATTTATTTCTAAATAAGTATTTCCCCCTCTCCCTGCCACTGTAGAAAACTTGCCTTCACCAAGAAACACAAATATGAAGTATTTGGTGAGTTCATATTCCTTTTCACTTCCCCTGCCAGTGCTGCTGGGTGACAAGGGACAGGGAAGCTCAGAAGTTCCTAAGTGGCTTTTTGATAGCATGATGATATTCTGATGTCCTGGCAAGAGTTTAGGGCTGGCCTTAGCCTCTCATCATCCTTTAAAACTTTAGAATGGGGAAATATGTTAATGGTATCAAAACTGGGTCATGTCTAGATTTGATCCAACTAGAATTTATCAGGGGTGACTGAGGTCTGCAGAGCACTTTTTGCTCCTTTTTTAAACATTGGCTGTCATTTCTGTTGTTGCTTGTGCTTTAGCTCTCGCCGTGTTTTATTCTTTCTCTCATTTGGTGGCTTTTATTTCATTTGTAACAGTCTGGAAAAACTCATGGCACCTGATGTGCTATAACTCTGTATGAATTCAGCAAACAGCCAACTTCATGTAATATTTCAGAAGAGCTTTCTAGAGAATGAAAGAGACATATCTTAGTTCAAAGGTTTTGCCCACTCTTCCTCCCTTCCTTCCTTCCTTCCTGTTTCTTTATTTCAGGATTTAAAAATAATCCTAGTTCTAAACTTCAGTGTGAATACTGGGTTTAAAAAAAAAATAAGTGAGGGAAATGACGATTTAGAGAATTTTGTAAATGTCTGTATTATCAATGGTCAAAATTGAATAGGCTGAATAGGCCGTTTATATTCATTCAATATAAACAGATTTTTGGTTGAAAAAAGCTATTTACGTTGTGCTCTTTAACAGAAATTGTGAAGTAACATGACTTAAATAGGAAATTCTATATTTTCTTATTTTTTAATCCTGTGAATTAATTATGCAAAATGTAGGCTTTTACTAATAATATGTTTTGACAAAAAATTTGTTTTTTCCCCTCTTAGAGCTTCTAGAATATCATGGTAAGAATTTAAGCTTTAGTTTTCTTTGCAGTATTTTCTCAGTACTGGTGTTTGGTGTGGGTTTTGTTTTTTTGTTTTTTTGTTTTAATGTTTGAGTGAGAGAGAGAGTATGAGTGGGGGAGGGACAGAGAGAGAAGGAGACACAGAGTCTGAAGCGGGCTACAGGCTCCTACCTGTCACCACAGAGCCTGATGGGAGGGTAGAACCCATGAACCACGAGCTCATGACCTGAGCCAAAGTCAGACACTGAACCAACTGAGCCACCCAGGCACCCCTTGCTGTGCTTTTTAATTCAACTAAGAATAAATATGGTGACGTCTGTTGTCTAATTGATTTGTTAACTCTTGAAATTCATCTTTCTCTTCCCTGTTCAGAGCCTAAGTGACAATGTGGAGGGAGTTACCATCTCTTAAGATAAGACATCAGGAGGAGGAACACATCACCAGAGTAGAGGGAATGAAACAAGTGATGATATGAGCCTGAGGTTTGGAGTGAGTACTTTGCCATGACCTGGCTCTTGCTGAAATGTCACAATGAGAAAACCCTTTTTGAGTCTATCAAGAAGCCTAAGCTTAGAGAAGAAGCCAGATATTGCCAGGCAGGGTGTGTGTCACAAGAGAAGTTTAAACCATGGTTTTGAGTCTGAAGTGGAGGGAGCCATTTGTGCCAGGAAAGCATGAGTGGAAATGAATTTGTTGCAAATGGGGGTAGACTGTGGTGATTCTGTGGTGCTGTTGAGAGCCAGGGTGGCTGTCTGACACTTAGCAAACCCTCCAAGGCTAGTGTTTATCCCTTTGAATGCAGCAGTGGTGGCGGTGAGAAAAGTGATCTCAGGGCATGAGAGCTCTCACACTAGGCCAACAGAAGAGAAGTTTGCACTATATGGTCAGATGAGAGAATTAATCCCTGTTAGAGGAGTCTGTTCTAGAGCTTATATGTGTTATCCACCTGTGTTGAATAATATTCCTGTAAGGTTGGAGGGTAATGTTCACATGTTGGAATGAAAAAAGTTTGTCTTCTAGGAATTGCCATTAATCCAGATCCTCCAGCCACTAAGTGTAAAGCTGAGATTGTACCCATATGTTTGATTCCAAAGACCTTGTCCTCCAGGGCCCCCAGGCTTGGGTTCATGAAAAGCAATCTGTGAGCAGCAGGAAGACATCCAAGGCCTTTGAGTAGTTAATCAGTCAGCAGTTTGAGCTTTCCTTGATATTCCAAATAGCGCCTGGGGGTGTAAGTAGCTCAAATCGAGACTAAATGATGGTTTTGTTTTTGTTTGTTCCTTTATTTGCAGGGACCTATGTATGTACCTTAATAACTGGAGGAGAGAAATGTAAGTTGATAGGATTTGATTTTTCTGTTTCATCTCTGGTGGTGACATAAGTATTTGAAGTGATTGAATTTTCCAAGAAGGGTGTTTCCAGATGGGAGAGAAATTAGAAGATATTTTATTGTGTTGCTCCATTTTGGACAATATTTTAAATACGAGTCTCATTGAAATAAAGTTTTCTTAGGTTTAAAATTCTGCTAAAACTTGATTCCATCAGGCACAACGGGAAAGCAAAAATGTTAGTTACACCCACCTGTCAGATCATGTGTCTGTGCTGCTAACACACTGGGATTATTCGATGTCACTGGTTTGGTAACAAACTTAGAAAATGTTTTCTCTCTTTTTAGTTAGTTTACAGAGAATAACTGAGAAGATCAATACTTTTAAGAACGAAAACAGAGAACTTTACTTCCTGAAGAAATATCCATTCGGGAACAGAAGGTAGCATGGCCCTTTCAAATATTTTTTGTGATTTCATTTTGGTTACTTCCACTCTAGTAGATCATCCTACTGACCTATTCTATGTGTTCTATAAGCAGTACCAATTCAAGACAAGCTTCACAAATGTAAAGAGCTACCTCTTTATTTGTGAAAGGAGTCACACATTAGAAGGTAGGTTTATCTAGCACTATGCTTTTTTTTTTTAATTCTGATTCCTTTTTGTGTTTTATACAACAATGAATTAAGGAAATGTCTTCAGGAAACTAAGAGAGAAAGTAAGTTTCTCTCTGATGAAGCTCTTAAATTGAAGGTGAGAATCCCTTCTTTGCCTGGATTGCATTCTAAAAAACACAAGTAAAAGTAATGAATTCTTATTACTCATTCAACACGTTTTGTTGAAGGAGAACATCAAAATAGTTGAGCACTTTAATTAAATTAAAAATATTAGTGTTTATTAATTTTTTGAGAGACAGAGACAGAGCACAAGCAGGAGAAGGGATAGAGAGAGAGGGGGAGACACAGAATCCAAAACAGGCTCCAGGGTCTGAACTTTCAGCAAAGAACCCGACACAGGGCTCAAACTCATAAACCACAAAATGACGACCTGAGCTGAAGTCAGATGCTTAACCGACTGAGCCACCCAGGCACCCACTTGAAAGAAATTTTAAATGACACCCTTCAAAGTGCACTTGCTACCTTGCAAACTCAGAGCGAGAGAGAGACAGGAATGTGAAGAATCAGGAAGTGGTAAGAGTTGGCTGCTGAGTTTTACTGTAATTTGGCTTTGGAGGCTTTTTGTTCATTGGGTGAAGTAAGCACAACATATTTGCTTGCCATTTACCACAGTAGAGAGTGGGCCTCTGGGAGCCAAACCTCTTTCTGAACAATGAGCTGGAATTTCAGTAGGAGCACCAAGATAAGTTTTGCCGTTTCAAGGACTAGGAGTCCATTTCAAGGACTACCTTTTGTTTTCACAACTAGGTAATTATCACATCATTCAACACTGCCCTCCAAGATATGTACAAAATCCCCAAATATAGTTGAGAGAGAAAGGGTGATAGCCAAAGTGTATAATCCTTTCCTTTTAAAAAAAATATTTTTAAATCATTTTTTATTTTTTTTTTTTTTAGTGAGACAAGGCATGTGAGTGTGGGAGAGGGGCAAAGGGAAAGAGAATCTTAAGCAGGATCCACGCTCAGTTTGCAGCCCAACACAGGTCTGGATCGCATGATCCTAGAATCATGACCTGACCCAAAATCAAGAGTCTGATGCTCAACTGATGGAGCCACCCAGGTGCTCTGTAGTCTCTTTCTCTCAAGGCTGAACAGTGAATTCTTGACATGAATGGGGGAGAGGGGATACACACACACACATATGCATATACATACATATGTATACCACTAAGAAAGCCATTTATGAGTTGTTAGATGTGAACTATCTTCCACCATCTTTGTCTTCTAGTTATATTTATGCCTCAAGGTCTTTGTTTATTGCAATGCATGATCTTATTGCTGTGCGATCAGTTTTCTGTAAAAGTCTTTTCTCATATCTGTCTTAACTACAAGATTCAAATGTTGAATTCGAGGATGTGGAGCTAAGAGCCTTGAGGTCCAATAACTGTCAACTGGAAGGTATATTTTCTGTTGGGAAGAAATCTCCATATGATGGCAATGACTGCATTGGAAAGGGAAAGAATACCCTCATGCCTTCAAGGTTCTTGCGTTTTTTCTGTCTCGCCAAAATCAAGACTCAGGTCTTGTGCACCTTTATAAAGAAAACCCCTTTTTCTTTTTTACAGAAAATAAAAAGGCCCTGGAAGACAAGTGTAATGCATTGAGGACTGTGAAAGCAACAAAGGAAGCAAAAGTCAAACAGCTGAAGGAGAAGGCATATCACCTAGAAGAATTCTATGAACAAAGAAAAGTGGCTACAGAAGAGTAAGATATTCATGTGAGAACTGTCACAAGTACTGCATTGTAAGAAAGAATGTGGCAACCAATAGAGATAATTATATTTCTTTTGGAACTGGATCCAGAGTATTTTGCCAAATGCATTCAGTGGAATTGTGCCTGCCCTTCCTACCTTGCTTTCTGTAACCTGCATTTTCCTTTCTGCCCTAAGTGCTTGTCACACATTGTGTCATGAATTTGGGGCCAAAGAGGGAATGTACCAGCAGTAACGTTGATACCTGGATCCACTGTAGATACACCTACATTGTCCTATAGGTTTCAAGCCCATCACACTGTTTTGTCATCCAGCAATTAGGTCATTTTGTTCAGGGCCAGACATGGGTCAAAAATGTGTGTGTTGGGGGGGGGGGGGATTTGAATTATCTTGCTACAGACACAATAGAAACTGCTTTCTGAAAAGTGGGTAGGGGTACCAGCTGTACTGAATCCCTGCATCCATTCGGCCAGTGAGATTGTTCAGTGCAGGCCCAACCCCTAAGAAAGTCGAATTGTTTCCTGTCCCCTGAGGTTTTACATGTAACTTTTCTGAGTCTTGACCAAAGCCTGCAGCTTCACTAGGGCTCATCTTTGCTGGCCACCCCTGAACTACATTTGTTTACTTCTAAGTCTTTGCCCATAAGGTTGTTCAGCTTCTTTGCCATTCAGATGTATGCCCCCCAAATCAATGATGAGCCCTAGGAAGATTGGGTCCAACTGCCAGGCTGGCTTTGTCCTGGGCTTCCTTCCTATCTTGGTCTTGTGTGTCTTCGTGGGGTTGTTAAATACTTGGTGCATTCACTCACATGCTTTCTCCTTTGTACAGTATTTCCTTTTGTTCTCAGGACATCAGGGACTTTAGAGTCCCTCACTCATGTTGGAAAGTGAACTCTTCCTTCTCTTCCCTGGAGACTCAGCTTTATGTTAGTCCTTTCCACACCTGGGGTTAGGGTCTGTTCTGTCTCACTGGCATCTTCTGGGGGTTTTTTTTGTTTGTTTTTTGTTTTTTAATTTGTAAGCTCTTTCTGTGAGTACAGTGCCCTGACCACCTTTCTATCTTCAACCCCTTACAACAGAGCCACTACATTACAACCACTCCAGCAACCATTTGCTGAAGGACTGCCTGAGAGGCCAGAAGGAAATGCATGTGCCTTTCTGTGTCTCATGCTTTTGTGTCCATTTCTAAGAGAATTTCAATTTTGCATGTGATTCTTGAGTACATTAAGTGTCAATGTGAAAGCCTTTAAATGAACACCACAAACAAAATAGTCTGAGGGCAACACAACAAACCAGCCTTTCTAAGCATTGCCTTTTGCTGCCTTCACTATCAATGGAACCAGTCTTGTTAAAGTAGATTGGCTCCATGAAGTTGAGATTTTTCCATCTGAAATCTGTTTCCTGGAAATAAACCCAGACTGTGTGACATTTCATATCAGGTTATACTTCAGGAGATGTTGCCCCTCTACGATTGGCCTTTTTCTCCACTAGGATATGTAAAGGTGGAGGCAGGGGTTGGAGTCCTGAACTCTAGCGATGTCTGGGAGTGAGCTGCAATGTTGGTGAAGCCATAGTCTGGGAGGTCGTCTTTCAGGGTGATTGTGTCATGGTACAACTTGTGGACTGAGAATCAGGGCTCCCCATGGAGGTGTAAGACTAGTGATGATCCCCTGCCTTATTCTAATGGGTACAGTTGGTCAGACATGGTTTTTCACACTGATGAAATGAGTCTTCACCATCTCAAACAAAGACCAACTCTGGGAAGGCACGAAGTGCAATGTTATTTGATGACTTTATGATGAAGGAGAGGAAAAAGAGAACTAGAAAGACAGTTCCGATAGCAGAGACATGGCAACAGAGGTTGAATGTTCTTTAACTTAAATGGGGTGCTCACCTCCTTTCTCTGATTGTGTTGTCAGTCTGTGCATTTATGGGAGAGGTGGGGGAAGGGATATCTGCATAGGCCTTCAAGAGTGCTGGGAGGTAAAAAGGGAGAATTTCTGGATCTTGGTCCTGACTGTATATATCTTTCCCATCTTAGGAAACTGCAAATGATAGTGTGAACTGATGGCAAAGAAGAATCAGCTGGCAGCTGCAGGTAAAATTTGAAAATAGCTACAGAAAGGGCTCCTGGGGGGCTCAGTCGGTTAAGCGTCTGACTTCAGCTCAGGTCATAATTTCACAGTCCATGAGTTCGAGCCCCGTGTCAGGGTCTGTACTGACAGCTCCGAGCCTGGAGCCTGCTTCGGATTCTGTTATCTCTCTCTCTGTCCCTCCCCCATTCATTGTCTCTCTCAAAAATGAACATTAATAAAAAAGGAAAACAGCTACGAAAGACATAAGTACAAGTGAGTTCGGCTACTAATTACCAGCAGCTCATGAAACCTCTGTTCATTTTTTTTAACCTTTTTACAATGTTTAGACTCAACTTAGTAATATAAACAAAAATTCAGAGATCATATCCATAGAGTATTAACAGATAAAAAAGGTAAGTTTTAGAAAGAACAAAACAATTAGGTTTTTAAACATTTGCAGATCTCAAGCAATAGCCAGACTATGTAAGAAACTTTGTCCATGCCAACATTCCTTGGGGGTGGTGTCAGTTGTCATAATCTATAGGAGAGCAGTGTGTTGTACAATGAATCATAACCATCAACATGGTAGTGCCATTCCATGGCCCTCGTTTTTGCATCCTGGTGAGGATATAAGTTAAAGAAGAATAGAGCTTTATCTGAAAGACACTTGTCACATGATGAATTAGGGAAAGATTGAAAATGGGAAGGAATTCTATGAACTCTGAGCCCTATGGGCATGGAATAATGAGTAAGGTAAGGATGTAACAATAGCTTTGATCCTACTGTACATTTATAATCATGTGAAAAGTGTTTCATGTGTAAGAATAAATTGTATCAAGGGACAGATATGAGGTTGTTGGGAATGTCGGCAGATTATTTAAAATCATACCCAATATTGGGTCTTATCTGACAAGAGCAATTGTAACTCACAGGCAACAAATTGAACAAACATGGGAACAGCTGCAGCAGGCAGAGCTCACCTTTAGATACCAGGTAACCTGAGCTCTGCCTGACAAACTGAACCCTTAGCACCTCATGCGGGTGAGTGTAGCAGCCCTTGGAATCCCTAACCACGGGCTTTTCATTGTTGGCTTTTTCAGATCGCAGCTCATGAGAAGAATGCTCAGGACAACTAGGTAAGTGTTTTCTTGTCTCCTCCTCTTTCTTTGGTGCACAGTCTGGCACGACTGAAGGTGGATGTGTCGTTTCTCCCCCAGATCAAGACTCAGATCTGGGATAGGGAGATGGCGGAGTAGGGCAGGGAGGTCGCTTACTTGAAATACAGGTGTGGTCATTTGACTTGCATTTTTATGGGTGTTTCCAGGGATGATGCGTGCACTGTTTGTTGTCTAGAAGACGACGTGGTGTTGCAACTCTTATATAAGTCCATTATTTTTCTGTATCCAAGACTGGACAGGATGGAAGCAAAGAGGCTGCCTGAGGGATACAGGAGGCAGAAACCAATGGCTGCAAGACCAGAGACGCAGAACCCTCCAAGGAGAGGTAAGGAGCATGTTGTGATGTGCCGCAGTCTAATTTCTGCTGTGCAGCCTGTTCCTGTGTGTGATCATCGTGTGGTCTGGAAAGAATCACAAGCACTAAGGATGGCAGGTGGTCTGAATGGGTGACAGAAGGGTGTTCTCCTCTGGTGCTGCAGGCAATGAGGCACTTGTCCCTGTGACTGGTGGAGCTCATGCCCCTCCTCTGTGACCCTCCCACCTCCTCTAGCATCCCCCTGTCTGAAGAGCCTGGAAAGGATGACAGGACATGGGCCCCATCCACCCGGACTCAATGTGAAGACTTTATTTGAGAAGAAGGTCATTTATTCACTATTTTAAGGGTCTTTATTTTTGTTTGTTTTTGGGAACTGTAGCCCTACATCCCTCAATTCAAGTTCCATAGAGCTTAGCTTAGTCCTCTGATGGTATCAGTGCAACTCTGCAGCTTCACTGTTAACTTCTCATAGTTTTCCTTTTCTCAATAGTGTAAAATTAGCCTTTCGTTATATAATAACTGCTCTCATGTGGAAGGCAGCTTGTAGATAAGCTGAGAGATTGAACAATTTGCCTTAAGTCTGAAGAAACGCACCCTTCTTGAGATCCATTGAGGATATACACCAAAGCAGTATTCTCAATTTTATTCTTTTTTTTTTTTTTAAGTTTATTTTGAGAGAGAGAGTCTGGGAGGCATAGAGTAAGAGGCACAAAGAGAGAATCACACGCAGGCACCACAGTGTCAGTGAGGAACCCAATGCTGGGCTCAAATTCACAAGCTATGAGATCATGACCTGAGCCAAAATCAAGAGTCAGTCGCCTGAGGCATGTGGGATACCCTCTGCCTCTGGTCAGGGACCTGAGTGTAGGGAAAAGTTTAAGATATTTGAGGAATGAGGGGCGCCTGGGTGGCGCAGTCGGTTAGGCGTCCGACTTCAGCCAGGTCACGATCTCGCGGTCCGTGAGTTCGAGCCCCGCGTCGGGCTCTGGGCTGATGGCTCAGAGCCTGGAGCCTGTTTCCGATTCTGTGTCTCCCTCTCTCTCTGCCCCTCCCCCGTTCATGCTCTGTCTCTCTCTGTCCCAAAAATAAATAAACGTTGAAAAAAAAATTTAAAAAAAAAAGATATTTGAGGAATGAGATGAGAGATTGTTTTCATTCCACACAGTCCTCTAAAAGCAGAAAAAACCTCCGTCCCTTCTAGGATCTTTAGTAGATCCAGAAACTGCTGAAACCTCTGTGAATTACAGCAGCTCTGACTATACCAAGAATGCAGATGAGGACAAAGTAAACACTAGGGCCATTCTCAGTTGTAACTCTTTCGGGAAACCCTCATCTTTCTGTACAGCACACTCTCCCGGCCTTGTCTTGTTCTGTGTCTGTTTGTTCTTTGTTTTCCAAATGCACACCCATAACCCAGGAGCCCACAGACTTCTCACTTTTTAGTCTGTCAGCTTTCTGTGGCAAGTTTAGAGGTGAAAAGTGCTTAGAGACTGAGTACCTTAAGGTTTTTCCATGTGGTTCAGGAAATAATGAGAGGAGGATGACCCCACACTCCAAACAGAAGCCTCCTGGGCTGGGTGACCCCTTCCAGACCTCACCTCTGTGGGAACAGTGTGGCTGCTGTGTCTTCCTTTCTTGATTCTGGCTAGGAGATGAACCTGTTAGAAAGTCTGCCATATTGTTTAAAATTCAAAAGTGCAAAACGACATCATGACTCCAACTTTATATTTTGTGCCCTGTACCATTTAGAGTGGTCTTAGATAAAGTCAGTGTCATCACGCATCACCTTCCCATATTTGTTGGTAAATGAGTTGTCTGGAATCCTTCCAGCTATACCTTAGGTAAAAATAGTTTGAACACTGTGTCCTTCAATTATGTTTATATGAGCAGTTTCTGGTTGTGTCCCCAGTCACTGTTAGAGCTGCTACAGTCTCATGACACATACCAGGAGTTTTATACCAAAACACTTGCTTTAAATCGGTTATGTGAATTTCTACCTCTTTTTTCTGTTGGGCATAATTACTCTGTGTCCTGTAGTATGCTTAAAATCAGAATTCCCTATGAATTAAGATGAACACATCTGAGCTTTGTAGACATTCATAAGTAACTTATTTGTCACAGGAGACTCTCATTCCCCTGCAAGATTCCAGGCATCCTCCACTCCCCAGAGGTCTCAGAGGCCTTTGACAACACTTCAGGAAGGAAGACTCCTTTCTCAGGGAGAGAAGCAGAGGAGGCAAGGTGAGGGTCCAGCTGCAGAACTTTTCGCCAGGAGTGGCTATGATTCCATGAGCAGAATATGAGCCATTTATTCCCACTCATTTTTTTGTGTTCTTAACATACCAAAACAGAGCATCTGGAGTCGCCGTAGAGGAGGGATGCAGGGTGAACCTGGACATCGATGGCTGCCTGTCCAGAGAGTGCTACTTCATTAGACTGTAATTACTTCTGTTAACCCTCTAGGACAGGACCCTTGCCATTTTACTTCTGCAGACATGGGCAGTGATGAGTGGTGGCAGTAGGTTAACCTCTTGCATCTACTACCCCAAGCTGTAGGTGGTGTCCAGTGGCAGGGATGGAGCTTTCAGGTACTGATGCTACTCTCTTGGATCCTGGTGGCAGAGAAGGTGGCAGGTGTGAACACATTCTTCTCTGGTTTTGATATTTGTTCTCTTGTCTGGCATATGAATGTAGCTGTCACTTCTGTTCTGCAGGGCAGTCTGGATCCTGGGGACCTCCTCTGTTAACTGGATGATTTTGCATGCCCTACCCTAGAGGTGCCCCGCCCCCATGGACTATTAGGCACATCCACCTCCTGAGCCTTGGTGGCCCTGGGGCCACCCCAAACCCCTCCACCTGCAACACTTGGTAAGATGATCTGAGCACTAGAAGGTGACTTGTAAAACACACTCATCTTATTTTTGTTGGTGTTAGGCCTTTGGCCAAGGTGCAGGAGCAGTGCCACAGACCATTGTGATACAAGGGGAATGTGTCTGTTTCCACTACCACATTCCTCAAGTTTCTCATGCTCAACATATCATCTTTGTCATTTCCCCCACCATATGTTGGTACAGGCGTCTCTTGTGGGGAAGGAATGGGGCCGTGTACAGAAAAGCAGACAGAGCGGTTCAGCAGTGATGCCCTCCCTATACACAGTCCACGTGCTGGGATCTGTGAGGCATGAGGCACAACGTAACGTATGTCCATCTAGTTGTGCCCCCAGCCATCTATAGTTGTTCGATGAGTGAGGAATACATCTGAATCAGGGCTTTTAGGAGTCTTCATTAGGTTATAAGGGATGGTTCTTCAAGTTCCTCGGGGATCACCTGAGGCATGTGGGACACCCTCTGCATCTGATTTGGGATCTGACTGGGGCAAAGAGTTTAAGTTGTCACAAGAATGAAGGGAGGGTTTTCTTTGTTTTTGTTTTTGATCTCTAAACAGTCTACTCAAATCAAAATAAACCTCCATCCCTTCTAGGGCCTTTAGCAGATCCAGAAGCAGGTGTCACTCCCAAGAGTGACATCAACACTGGCTCTACCAAAACTGCCAAGAAGCATAAGGTAAATGCTGTGGCATTTTCAGTTCTACGTCTTTCCAGAGAGCCGCATCTTTCTGTGCAGCACACTCTCCTGCCACTGTCTCTGGTTTGAGTGCCGTATGGTATGGGTGCTGTCTTTTTTTCCCCCCAAATGCACAACCTTTACCCCTGAGTCTACGGGCTTCCCTGTTTTCCACCTGGCATCTCTTTGTGGTACCTTTAGAAGCTAAGTGTGCTTAAGGGTGAGGACCATAGGGCTTTTCCAACGTGTTCCCGGAATAAATCAAGGAGGATGACACCACACTCCACTTGGAAGTCTCCTACCTTGCCTCATTCTTTCCAGATCTTCTCAGTGTGAAATCATTGCTTTTGCTGTTTCTTCCTCTCCTGTTTCTTTCTATCAAGGGTTTTCACGTGTTCAGAAAAATCTGTGGGTATCCTTACAGTTTGAAAATGAAAACTGCCTTCACTCCAACTTATATTTTTGTATGCGTCATTTAGAATGGTCTTAGATGAAGTACATTTCATACCCGTCAGCATTCCACCTTTTTTTTGGTAAATGTGCTGTCCAAAATTCCTTCAAGTGTGCCGTGGGTATAAATACTGTAAACTATAAGAGGTGACATATTTGTCATAGAAAACATGCCCTGAAACTTAAGTTGTGAAGAGAAAAAATCCAAAATTACCTGTGTGGCAAGTCCCCACCATGTCCTTCACTTGTGTTCACATGAGCACATTCTCTTGTGTCCTGTGTCACAGGTACAGCTAAAACATAGAAACATACGCCAGAAATCAAAGTGCATTTGTGTTAATTTTGTCATTTAGAATTTCAGCTCACTTTTCCAGAGGACACAATTACCCTGCAAAATGTACTGTACTTAAGCTGAGGAATACCTCTGAATTCAAATAAATTAGCTGAACCCAACTAACATGTATAGGTTACCTGTTTCTCTAAGAGCATGCTTATCCAGGTCCTCTGTAGGATCTCAGGATCCCCACCTCCCCATGTGTCTCTGTGCCCATGGATAGCACTTCCAGAGAGGAGGAGACCCCACTGTTGAGAGAGAAGTAGATTGGGCACAGGCAAGGGCTTAGAGGCAGAGCTTTGAGCCACGAGGGCTATGATTCCATGTGTGGAGACTGGGATTGTCATTCCTTCTCATTCTGTAGTTCTTCACATATAAATAAGCAGCCTCTGTGGTGGAGGGTGATGAGAGGTAGAGGGTGATCCTGGACATAGATGTCTTCCTATCTGGAATATGCTACGTTGTTAATTTGGCATTAAGTCTACTAATCTAGCAATAGAGCCCTTGATGTTTCTACATTTCCCGACACGTGGAGACACTAGTTTATCCATAACATCCGTTCCCCATCCCAAAGCTGTAAGTGGAACCCAAAGTATGGGTAGAGATTTTGGCACTGATGCTGCCCTCTTGGAACATGGTGGCCAGGAAGCTGGCAGGTTATGAGCACTGCTTCTTTGGGTTTCTGCTCTTTGCTGATGTTGGTGCTTTGTTCTATCCTGTGAACACAGCTTTTATTTCTGTTCTGCAGGCCATTATGTATGCAAGAGGGCCTGTTCCTTTCCCAGGATCGCCTTGCAGGCTCTATCCCATGGACCACCCTTCACTACCAGTCATGGGCTATAGGCCACCTCCCTCTCTTCCACCTACTCTATTTGCTAAGATGACCTGAACTGGATGATTGACTGGTAAAGTATATTCATCTTCTTCATGACTGACTTCGTGGTAATGATGTAGAGATGGTTGTGAGTCTTGGCAATCCAACTACAACCTGCCTGAGGACACTGTAGCATATCTCAAGTTTCTCAGGGCACACATACAATGGGCAGTGTCATTTCCCTGTAATACAGTGAGCTATATACATCTTTCTTGTCAAAATGAAAGAGGATTTTCTACACAAAAGCAGATGTATCAGCAGCACTGGTGCATATTTTGGAGGCACAATGCTTTGGGTTCTATAAAGAATGAGGTGCACCCCTAACTTTTAGAGCATCAGGTGTCCTATGTGAAAGAGGGACATGCATTAAGTGACACAGACCTTGTGATCACCATAATGGAAACACCAGTGAAGGATCCAGTGCAGAAATAGGGGAAACTTGTATTACACAGGAATAGAAGGGAAGTTGAGGACAGTAAGCAGAGTTTGAGGAAGTGCAGAGGGTGCTGGGGTCAGTGAGATGCAGTTGGAGGCCATTCCTGACCACAGCCTGAGCAGGGAGTGTGAGGTTCACACGGAGCTGCTATGTGCGATCACTCTCAGTGCACAATGCAGTGTTCATCTCCGAAATGTCATTTTCATCAAAGTGCACCTAGGTAATCATCTAAAAAGGCTGTTGTCACCCTGGGTTTTCTGAAGGTTCTGGATATTTGTGGGGGGAAAATGCCCTGGAGACATGGGAAATTTAACTTGGTCTTATGGAAATGCTTGTATGCCCAAGTTCATATCCCTCAGTGAGACTAAAAGTGGAGACAGGATCTAGATCAGCTGAGGGCCCGCATTGGCCTTCAGCCTGAGTCAAACTCTTAGTGGGTCAACCTATAATTCAGGGTTGGCCAGAAGCCATCCCTGCATCAACCTGATTACAGCTTTGCATCTCCTCAAGCTTCTCTCACAATATCCTGAGGCTTTGCCTGTGTTCCTGCTGTCTCAGCCCTAATACCAGTTCTCAGTGGGACCTACACAGAGCCTCAGCTGTGTTATCTGTGAAAACAGGGGTAATATTTGTTTCTAAGAACATTATGAAAAGAAGACATTAAATACATAAAGCATCTGCAAAATGTCTGGGAAGTGTCCATTCACCCTTCTCACAGTTTCAATTAAGATATCTCCACACAGTGATCATCAAAAAACGATGGTCACAGAAGCTCATTAAACTAAGACTGTTAACATGTCAGCCCAGGGACTGGGAATCGCCGTTTTAAACAATGAGACAAGGTCCCTCATTTTTCTATTAAAATTCGGGCCCTACCAGACAAAGAAAGAAGAGATAATTATGAGAATGTGTACATTCATAGATCTGGATCTGAAGACAATCATTTTCCATTACATACAATCTCACAGATGCAGCCACACTCTAAAGTGTTCATCTGAGGCCACAGCCACTGATAAACTACAGAAGACAGAATGCATGTAGGAAAACATAAGATCAGAGGGAAATAAACCAAAATCTCTTTGCCTTATAGGACAACTATTCTGAAATTTGAAGAGGACTGTGCACGGAGACATTCTATGGTGATTACATATACATTTTAAGCAGGTGTCAGATCTGCCTGAATGCTTTCCCTGCCCATCCTGTCCCCTCCACTTTGTCGTTCCTACTGTCCACTAACCCACCTTTCATCGTTCTATCTCTGTGTCAGCGTCTGCTTCTAGGACCATCTACTCTCACTCCCCATCGAGTGCACACAGTGGGGTTCCTGTACACACAGGTAACAAAGTGTTACCAGAAATGGTGGTGATAGAGGATAGAAGCAAGATCACCCTTTGTGCAGGGGAGCCCGAGGGAGTTTTCTGGGGTGATGGGAACTTCCTATATCTAGATTGATGGGGTGCTTATGCTCATTTATTTTAGAAATATTCACTGGCTTCCTGGTGCCTTGGGGTCAAATAGATAGGTATCTGTCCCTGGGAAATGGTGGAGTTCTAATGGTGGGGAAGGATGAGGGACCAGCAGTGACTGTGGGAGAGGAGTGAGGAGGCCACACATGGAGTCAAACCCTTGCCCAGGGTGCCAGGTCTCCACAGACAGTGCCATGTGTAGGAGGGCTCCGAGGAACAGAGATTTCTTGATCAGACCCGTGAACTACATAATGCTCTTGCAGTTTCCTCACTGAGGGATGGCCGGAGCAGAGGCCAGGAGCTGGAGGACACCCTGATCATGGCTGGATTGGAGCAGGGGACCTGGGGGATTGAGTCAGAGAAAGGGACAGGCAGAAGGTAGCGACAGGGAGTCTGAGAGACAAAGGGGAGAGAAGAGAAGGTACGTTTCTCTGCTGACTTCACCTACATTTCTGTGTGAACAAAAGGGGATTCTTGTCTCCAAGGGAAGGGAAGAGTACGAGCGAAAAGAGTGACATTCTCAGCTCAAGTGCCCAGGATATCTGCCCTGCTCTTGAGTACCTAACACAGGAAACCCATGCTTTCTGTCATAATTGGAACTGCAGCTCGTGCCATTTAGTGAAAATCAATCCAATTATGAATCCCTCATCACTCATACCGCAACATCATCATACTGCAACAAAATTAAGTAAACATAGTGAAAGATACAATACGGGATAAAGTCCAAAGCTAGACCGACTGCAATACTTAACAGGAATACAGGCTATCAGAAAAGGAGGTACCCCCGTGCAGGCATTCAGACACCTGGGCAATATCTGAAAACATAAAAAAAAATATAGTCCGTACTTCAAAAGCAACATTAACTTAGACACAAAGGAATCATGATTTAAGGTTTAGAGAGAAACCATATGACTTCATGGTGCTGTAGCTATGAGATCAAGTCTCATCAAATCATACCCTTTAACTAGAGGCTATTTGTTATATGTATATTATACATCATTAAAGAGAGTTTCAAAACATAAAATACTAGAAGCAAATGTGGGAAAGTTCCTTTCTAATCCTGAGTGCATGGGTGATAGGAGTGTGTCTGACCATGTCTCAAAAATCCAAAAGATGAAGACATTTAAAAAATTAATAATAGCAGAGTAAGAGGACCCTGAGCTCACCCTGTCCCATGTTTTCAACTGCAAAACATCCACATCCAAGTCCATGAACCAGAGAGCGATCCAAAGACTGGCAGAACAAACTCCACAACTAAATAGAAGCTGTACCTGAAAGGTTAGGAAGGTCAGAAAGGTGGAGGGCAGCTGCCCGCAGACAGGCAGAGAACGTGAGCCGTCACACCAGGGAGCTCACACAGGCAAGACGAATCCCCAGAACATTCGGCTTCAAAACCCAGAGGGGCTGAATTCCCTTGAGTTTGGATCCTGGAGCTTTGGAGGTCAGATGACCCAGCGCCGGGTGATCCAGTGGATGAGTGATAGCCAGGTCCCTGCCAGCGTAGAGAGACAACGTAAACGTAGCATTTTACACAATGTCAAGGCAACAGGAGACAGACCTGTTCATGCTGACTTCTGAGTCGTTAGGGGACTTCTCCAACAATGAGGGAGCTTACAGGCACCATTCCTGCCTCTCCCCCCCACCCCCACCCCCACCCCCCGTCCAGGAATAAGACCAGAAGCACATACCAGGGAGTGGAGCTGCACAGACACTTGCTACCTAACATACTAGCCATGTGCCAGTCCTCTGGTGGACTCACCCACTCCAAGCCTGCTGGCCTCAGCACTGGGCTCAGGGCAAACTCTGTTAAAACCGCATGGGCACCCTGTCTGGCCAGCTGCAGGCAGAGCTACCACTGCATGCTGTGCACCCCTGGCTACCCTCATCTGTGTCACCCACCCACATGTCCCAGCCACTGACACACTCTGTGCACAGCCTTGAGCCCCTGGGTGCATTGCCCCCAGCCACCAAAGACAGCTACAGATTTGTCAACAGAATCTTGGAAAGACAGAAGGAAGTGACATGACATATTCAAAGCGCTGAATGGAAAAATCAGCAGCCAAGAACACTCTATCCAGCAAGGCTATCATTCAGAATAGAAGGAGACATAGAGTTTCCCAAACAAAAACTAAAGGAGTTTGTACCACTAAACCAATCCAGCCAGAAATACTAAGAGGGACTCTTTGAGTGGAAAGGAGAGAACAAAAGTGACAACAGGGAGGTAGAAAATACAAATCCAGTAAAAATGAATATTTCTGTAAAAAATCAGTCAAGGAACTCATGTACCAAAATATAGGGAGAAGAAAATAATGGGTTCAAAGGTAAATGACCATCAACTTAATATAAATGGCTAAACATAAAGAAATTATGTAAAAACTTAATGGTCACCATACATCAAAAACCACTCATAAATAAGCAAAGAATAAGGAGAAAGAAATCAAAATACATCAGTAAAGTAAATCAGCAAAGCAT